TTGGGTATGTGTGTATTGCTATTAAAATAAAGTGGAAGTAAGTGAGGGAGAAAATGAAGAAGGAAAGAAAAAAACTTCCGCAATTAATTTCAACGACCTGAAAAAAAATACACATCTTTAAGTTTGAGTTGTTAGGAAATAATAATATAAAAGTAAAACTATTTATTTGAATGTTGAGGGAATAAAAGTTTTCTATTATTTTGATCATTTTGTCGGAAGATAATGAGAAGTTTTTTTTTGTCGAAACTTGTTAATGGTATGCTGTTTAGTTAATATATGGGGCAATAATCTTAGGTTTAGTGAAGGATTGTATAGAGTTCGAAAGGTTGACTATGAATTTGTGATAAACACATCAAGCTATAGCTCATTATGGGTCCTTATGTGCCTATTTCTTTTATTAGCATGATTCTTTGATTTTAAATAATAATAATGTGGCCCAGCCTTTCAGCTGAAGGCACTGCGATTCAATTTGTAAAGAATCGATTGTATCAAACCCTTTAGACCTACAGTTTATAGTGGGATCCGAACCACTTGCAAGTTCTGCACATTGCAAAGATACTAGTACGTCATAAGACCTGATGTACTCTGTAATGTACCTAGAAACAATCAGTGTGCGCAAGGATTATGTCTCATAGGACCGACCGAAATTCGGCTAAAAATTCGGTTAAAATTCGGTTACATTTCGGTTCAACCGAATTACGGTTGACCGAAATTCGGATGGAATTCGGTTGAATTTCGGTTGAGTTTCGGATGGAATTCGGTTGAATTTCGGTTGAGTTTCGGATGGAATTCGGTTATACTTCGGTTCAACCGAATTACAATTCCGAAATTCGGATGGAATTCAGTTGAATTTTTTTGTACTAAATTTTGGTGGAATTCGTTAAATCAACACAGTTCCTACACAGGGTTCATCTCGTTTACTTGATAACAATGATAACACTTTATTACACTGGAAATGGTCTTTTGTTGCTTAATGCATCATTATGTATCATAAAATACTAAAAACATCAATAATTTTCAATGTTTCGAACATTTCAAGAAATCTCACAAACATATATTTTAACCCATGTATAACCCAGTATAACCCATGTTTAATAAAGTCATTTTCCCATGAACATCCTCGTTGAAAATTTGAATTCAAAATTACGTTATAATTTATAATTTTAAAAACCCGTTAAATTCTAATGATTATCTAATTATTTTGCGTTCATTTACAGATCATGAGAAGATTAGAAGATCATTAATTTTAGTGTAATTGTCAAATAATTACAATGAATGTCCATATAGAAAGGCTTTATTATTTAACGGTCTTATGAAGTTCAAATGTTCTAACGGTCAATTAATATTTAAAACTTTCCCGCTAAAAGTTGTACTACAGTAAAATTAATTATAGTAAAATTAATAATTTTTTGCAATTAATTTCCATTCAGAAAGGGTTTATTATTAACGGTTTTTTGAGATTCAAATTTTACAAAGGCTAGAAAAGTTTTGAAATTGTAGAGGTAAAATAAAATTTTGGCACTGACAACAAAAAAATCATTAATTAAAGTATGAATCCATTGTTGCAACTTTCTAAATGCCCGGTGCCACAATAACTCGATATAACTGAACTAATATCTGGTTTAAGAGATCTCAGTTCACAACTGAGTAGCTGATTATCCCAACGAATCGAATTTTTAAGCTCCCTGTTAGAAACAAGTTTCAAGAATGCGCTAAACACTTATGCTGTGCGATTTTCACATTTTAAGTTTTAAGCAAATTCTTTGGGTGTTAATAGGCACGAATTTCAATAATTTGAAATTTTATTTTTTATAAGAAAAAATGCATTTAAAAAAAATAATTTTTGACGATGGATTTCGCAAAAAAAAATTATCTTGGTAGATGGATTAGCTAAAGATTATACTGAGATTATTCTAGAATTATCCACATATTTAATCTAAAATGTTAAAACTGGGTCCCACCAATTGTATATTCAGTACTCCAAATACCAAAATTATTTTTTCACTGTATTCACTAGCCAAGAAAAAGGTAATTTTCTTAAATTGTTCTGATAATAATCAATTAATTCTGCATAAAATAAAATTTTTTGCATTCTTTTTTTTCTATCCTTTTAAGTTATTGTTTTTTAATTTAGATTTTATATTATTTATTTCAATTTTAAAAACTGTTTTAAATAATCTTTTTTTTAAAACAAAATAATACAATAATACAAAATTTCCATGAAATTCCACCAAAAATTGGTACAAAAAAATTTAACCGAAATCCAACCGAATTTCGGTCAACCGAAATCCACCCGAATTTCAACCGAATTCCATCCGAATTTCGGTCAACCGAAGTCCAACCGAATTTCGGTCAACCGTAATTCGGTTGAACCGAATTTCCACCGAATTTCATCCGAAACTCAACCGAAATTCTACCGAATTCCATCCGAATTTCGGTCAACCGGAATTCGGTTGAACCGAAATATAACCGAATTTTAACCGAATTTTCAGCCGAATTTCGGTCGGTCCTATGAGACTCGCCCTGCGCAAGATGCAGTAAGGAAGTCGTCCGGATGCTAGTATATCCTTGATTTTAAATAAAGTAATTGAGTTTTGAACTCAGGATCACGATTTCTATGTTTTTACTTATGTATACCAAAGCACTTGACCACCAGATCATCTCAATTCATTTCCTATACCTTATTATTCGACCTATAGCACTACATAAACACAAACATAAATGCAATCACATCTTTATTCTCATAAAATCTCTACAAACTTTTGTAAATCAATAAACAGCACAGGCTATAAAGATTCTAACTTTAAAACACATTTTACCAATTTAATAACATCAGATGAAGGAAGGCGATAGAGAAGTTAACTTGTATGAACTTTTTTTATATGATTTTACAAGCATTTAAAATGAAAATTTTATGAAGAAGTTGCATCAGTAGCATAAGTTGTGAATAATAAAGTGGTGAAATTTAATGCAGACACACAGGAAATGGCAAAATGTTAAAAGTTATTCATATATCTCGCAAGGATTCTCATAACTTAACGGCATCCTTATTCTCAAAACAGATTTTAATGGAAATGTATACATCAAGATATAAAATAGATGTGAAACACTTGTGATGTTAACAAATTGCTTTAGTCATGATGAGAAATTGCTTGATTTGATAAATGTCAGATGGAGATGGAAAATTATTTTTATGAAACGAGAAATGGGAGGAGATGACTTACAAGCGGTTGGCATAAATTAATAATAAAAATTGATAAGATTTTTATCATTAAATTTATGATACAACTATTTTAATAATATTTTCATTTATGCAAAAGTTCATGTAAATTTTTCAAATTGACGATCATCATTGTGATTAATGTTCCATGCTGACTTCATCTTCATAAATCTCTTTTTCTTTACTTCTGATTTGAGTTGGTTATTTTATGAATGGAAAATGTTAATTTATGTTGAATAGGGCACATTTAATGTGGGTTTTTAAATAAACTTCTAGCAAAATGTTCAAAAATTTAAATTTTTTTATTACTGCTGCTATAGTTTGTAGTTTTTAGCTTTACATTCTATTCAAATCAACTTTTGCTACTATTTACTTTGCTCATTTTAAGAAATCTTCAAAGTTTTGAAGCTAGAAAATTTTAAAATCTCAAAATACTTTTCGAAGTGAGACAAAAAATATCGAAATTTTAAAAATTCGTTAATCTCAGCAGCTTTGCACCTAATAATTGATTCTCCACACATGTCACATTTGATATGCATATTCAATTCATGTCCACATCCCACACTTGTAATTAAAATTATTGAAATTAATATTGCATGTATCATCCAAGATATAAAATTTATATATCCTTCATTGTCATAATTAATTGAGAAATTACAAGATATCAAATATCACACATAAAATTAAAGTAAACAAGCCTCGTTGTTGATGTGAGAAATGGAAATGTTAAAAGATATATTAATATGAATTTAACATTTTAACAAATAGTTTATCTTCACACACAACGGAAGATTGCCCATAAACTATCAGTATCATCATCATGAATAGTGTAAAGAGAATGAGAAGTGACCAGAGACCAATCATACATTATTACTATACAATATGAACTGCTTGATTCGCTCTACTGAGTACTTGTTTTCTCTTTACAATATGGGGATAATTTTATCACTCAAGACACGTTCTTATATTCAATTGTTTGCAAACATCCATGCATTCATACAAAATTGTAATGAGCAACTGTTTGGTTGATTCCACTTTGCTGTTTATGTTACACATATGTCAATATTTAACAAAAAAAAAATGAGAGCGAGAGGAATAAAGCACTGGAAAAAATAACATTGTGTAACCACAGCATCATTTGAATGAGTAAAGGGAGGATGTTAGTAAACAAAAAAAAAGTTGAATGAGCTGGATATGGAATAAAGTTCGTCATTTGCGGATGGTTTTGTTTTTAAATTTCAAGATTTTTTCAGAATATTTACATTTTTAAATGGATTGAAATTTGGTAAGCTTCAGGTATTTGACAGGTAATGTCTTATTGACAGAGAGAGAATTCAAATTTGTTTCCTAAAGAAGGTATCTAGGATAGATATTAAATTGTTATTTAAAATCTTACATCAAACCTTTTTTAAATGTGATTTTGAGATTTTCTGAAATTTATTTAATTCTGACACACAACAATTAAATTGGTAGGCAGTGGCCTGATTAATATTTTAAGAACTTAAGGCGAAATCTCCTCGGTTCTCCTTGAACGCAACTAGAAGGGGTTCTGAAGCTATCTTCAAATACATTTACATTGAATCAACCTTATGTGAATATTTTGTCGTATGAGAGCCAAAAAATTACAATTCTTCAATTGAATCCTGTATGAACCCTCCTCCTCCATTCTTATCAATAGTTTCCAGAAAAAAATGCGCTTTAGTCATCAATAAATTTTTAACTCATAAAATAAAATGACTAACGAAAATATTATTATTTTATCTCGACACTTTCCAGCATCATGAGCTTGAAAATGAGAAGGGTAACACTATTATGTACACTATTCGTAATGCTTATTCATCATGTGAGAGGTCATGGGCGATTAATGGAGCCTCCAGCTCGTAATGCCATGTGGCGCTTTGGTTTTCCAAATCCTGTTAACTACAATGATAACGGTAAGTTTTTTATGCTTCCATTGCAGATTTTATTTCTCTTAAATTTTTAATAAACTTTTTTTTCTTCCATTTATATCACATTTCAACCTTGCACCATTTTTAGAACTTTTTTGCGGTGGATGGTCTGGTAATATAAAAACTCAATACTTTAATACTTTAATGATATGTGCATCCTTATGAGAAATTATGTAATCAGAACAAATTTTATGATTTAAATATGCATGCAACGAGAGAGATTTTCAAATAACCCCAAATACTTGAAAAATTAAATTTTATGAAATTTTTGATCATGCTGGAAAATGAAAATTGAATATTTTACTGAAATTTTTTGTGCAAATAAATTTATGAAATATTGAAAATATACAATTTTGAAATATTTTGTATATTTTCTAAGGGATAATTCACCAATGATGCCTTTAATAAATTTTGTGATGCTTTATTCACTTTGAGGTTTGTCCTAGCATGTGCACCTATCTGTAGCATCACTGCTCATTTCTGTTGTTACCAAAGAGCTTTATCATATTTTTTTGAGGCATTTTTCATTTATTATTGTTGCATCCTTAATTGAACTTGTTCTGTCTCATATTGGTGTATTTAAAACCAGCGATGTCAGAATTATGAGCTTCAAGTCAGACTTAACTGCTCTCACCTTCAATAATTATTCTAGGATGAACGAAGCGAGCGACAATTTGAAAATTCAATCCCTGTTCTCACAAAATTTCGTTCACAACGTCACGGCTTCCCATCAAGAAGGAATAGTTCCCTTTACCTACCCATAGTATATAAAATAAACTATCCAGAGGGAAAAATTTCTAATAAAATTAAAATACATCATACGTGATCATCAATTTCTCTATCTACATCCATAAAAAAATTTGTCTAGTAAATTTTTAATAGAACTATCAAATATTTTCTACTTCATCGCCATAATAAATTATGTTTAACACCAGCAGCATAAGTTTTCATGCTACACATGAGAAAAAGTATGTTTGAAAAAAAAAAATTTCTCCATCATGACCAGATTAAAATGCATCAAAATTTGTCTACAATTTAAAAAATCTTCATCCAGAAACGGTACCTATATAGAAGCATCGTACGTTGCAGCATATTTAATAAAATTTGTTTCTACTAAACATTCCTTCATGTCCTTGCATCATAAAAACTAATTTTTAACCACACATCCAACACATAAACAGTACAATGGGAGCAGAATTCAGGAAAATGCGGTACATGTGGTGATGCATATCATCTGGATACACCTCGACCCCATGAAGCTGGCGGAGATTATGGCAAAGGAATAATTTCGAGACGATATGCAGCTGGACAGGTAATAAATATGAATTTTTATGTCACGAAAAATTTTTTTTTGCTCCGCCCAAATTGCATCCTGTGTGCTTCCTTTTTGGGTTAGAAGAAAGTTTTTGTGTTAAATTATTGTTACTTTTTGTCGGAAAAGTTGAGAGGTTTTTGGGGAGGAATTGGTTTTATGGGTGTGAAATTGACATGCAATAATTGTGCAATTATTTGAAAGATTATAAATAGCTTGAATGAATTTATGACTGTCTATAGAGATAGTGGTACACAAGTTTTGCTCGTCACAAGAGTATTGATGTGCTTATTCCAAGCCAGGCAAATACTCCTACCCAAAACTTTTTAACCAAAAGCGTTCTACAACGTCACAACGACAAAAAAACTGAGTATATTCAGTTCCAAACTTTCCCTTTTGAAAAAATCGTTTTTTGTTGCAATTTATTGCATGCATGCAGGAAGAATGCGGATATGGTTGGTGTTTTTCAATTTTTCATACAGCATTCAACCTTCTCACATGTGCAAAACCACCTCTTTTCAAACATGCTCTAAACGTTTTCTTCTTTTTCGAAAATAATTTTTCAGGAAATCGAAGTGGAAATTGAGTTAACAGCAAACCATTTAGGACGCTTCGAAATGTATTTATGTCCAAATAATAATCGCTATCAGGAGGCATCACAAGAATGCTTTGATCGTTATCCCCTCCTTATAACAAAAACTAGAGAAGTCCGATACTTTATTCCAAGCGAATCAAGGAAGCAAGAGACATTCCATTACAGAGTCAGATTGCCACAAGGAGTCACATGTACACATTGTGTTATTCAATGGACATACTATACAGGAAATATGTGGGGTAAATGCGCAAATGGAACGGAAGCTGTTGGTTGTGGACCAGCTGAAACATTTAGAAACTGTGCTGATATTGCTATTTATACGAGTGCCGGTGCTGGACGTCCACCGTTATTTGTGAGCGAAAAACAAAATCCATTCTTACTGTACTACAGAGATCTTCGTGCTGATCCACAAAATAACGTCTTTCCATTGATTGTACGGTGAGTAAACGTTTTTTGCATCTAGTGTTGGACCAGTAAAATTGACTCAGACCTAAAAGATTCTTTACTTACTACGCAACGAGTCTGGTGACTCATTAAGAACGAGAATCTCTTTTAAAGGAGTCATGCATGATATTTTGACATAAGCATAAAGTTCAATGACGAATTTTAAAGACCAAATTGTCATGAAAAGATTCATTCTTGCAACAATTTTACTGCTGCATAAAATTTTTCAAGAATATGCATCCTTACTCTTCTAATCTATACGACATCAGCTGTAAAAATACATATAAACCTTCTTTCTACATTTCATTAATTTATCGATGCCATCTATGCATGCTAGAATATTCGCTTTTTTTCTTGCAAAGTACATTATGTAGACAATAAAATGTGCTGCATGTGTTGTGTATCGTATAAAGAATTAAATTACCCCCACCCACCCTCCATTAAAATTCAATAACAACGAGACACATAAACATATGCAACATACACATATCCTTAATAAACTCGTCTATAGAACAGAATGGAAAAGTCAAAGACGAGATGAATAAGAAGACAAATGCCTTGAAAACTGCCAAAATTAATTTTCTAAAGTAATTCGCCCCACCATATCATCGAGATATTCTTTCCTTTTTATTTTCATGTCTTCATTATACGATGAGATTTAAGTCTGATTTTTTCCTCCTTTCATGCTGCCTTCATTCATATTATAAGACGGTTGAAAAAAAAAGTCTCGAGGCGTCTTTCATTTTATTATTAAGAAAATTTTTGATTTAAATTTTTTCGGAGGGAAATTAAGGCGGATGGAAGTTAAAGGAAAACGTTAGGTATTGATTTTTTGAAGATTACACCTTAAAGAGAATTAAAAAGTGTTAAAAAGTGTCTGAAATGTTCATTTTCTGATAAGAATATCGGGAATATCATGAAAAATACAAAACTCATTTCCTATTAATCAGCTCCTATTAATCAGTTTGATCAGCTGCTCTGCTTAGATGATAATCAACATAAATGATTAGCTATGAGACCAGAGCTCGAAGTCAAAAGGGTTCGAGTCGACTTCGAGCTTTGAATGAGACACTGTTCTCATTAAAAAGTATTTCCTGGGTCCCAAGAGTATTGATTTTAAAGTTCTCAACAGCAGTTCAAGTTTGATATAAGCATTGTTTGTTAAAAGGTTGACACCTTAATGATCTCCATATGTTCATCAAAAAATCAATTCCAGTTCATGTTCAATAAACCTTAAAAAATACATTAGATCATTGCCGGATTGCTACAAAATACTTTACATGACCCTCCTACACAACATTATATATTCTCCATAAACATAAACTTTTGTCATAAACTCAACTTATATCTCGTTTTTATGAGATTATAAATAAAGGATTCACTCTTGAGAGAACAGAATATGTACATTTTAATGTCAAAAGTTGTGCTGCTAGAGAATTGAGTATTTTTAGGAAAATAAATACCAAGAAGAAATAAAAATTTTAAGTTTTAACGGATTCGGAATGTAAAATTTATGAGATGGGTAGATTTAAATTGTAATTTTAGGTTAGGTTGCGATTTGCGCGATATTGTTGAACTTAATAAAAATGCAGAAAGATTTTCATCTCTTATACCTAATGATAGGTGCTTGTTCAGGGTTCATGATGTTTATGATCGATTGTGTTGATGCTTGCATTCAAAATCAATTCATGTCGGGAAGTCTTAACATAACAACAATGATGATAACTTCTTAAATTTGCAAAATTTTCTTACAAAACATTCTAAAACATTCCACAAAAAATCTTTTTATACTTAAAAAAGTCAATTCTTTAATCTTTAAGACTCGAATGTCAAGAATCCGTAAAAAAAACTCTTGAAAAGTTTTACACACAAATTTTTTTAATTCAAACTTCTTCAAAAGAAATGCCTTCCCTCATGTTGTATAGATTTCAAAGCATATTACTTCATAATTCTCAAACAAAAATATCAACAAAGAAGCGCGTGCCATTTTCTTCCTAAACTTTAGCACATGAAAGAAAAGTTTGCAGCATTTTGTTATAAATTCTTAGGAAGATTTTCCACAAAAAATGTGAAAGGAGCGCAACTTAAATATTGGCATTTGCCATTAAGAACGTACAATAATCACCAACAAATTAATTAAAAACCAAATCTCCTCTGAAACTTTTAACATAATTAAAATGTACACAAAAATTATTTCATTAATTTCCTCCTCACCAAAAAATCTACAAAAAAATGTTTTTTGTTCGCTAATTTAATTAATTTTTACAAATTTTTCCAATCACGATGGAAAATTATCGGAGATTAAAGGAAAATTGCTGAAAATAATTAGAAAAGCTTGAGATTTCAATAATTAACCACAAAACTCATTAAAATAAAAAGAAGTTTTTACGTCACAGCTCGTGCATGCCGTACACAGTAAGCACATTGATAATCTAACGAGAAGGGCTGCCTCGATGTGAATCGTTATGGTTTAGAGAGTATTTAAGCTGAAAGTTAAATGAAAAGCTTTTTTAATTTTCCTAAAATAATTTTCCATTCCCCCACACTTTTTCCAGCCATTCACAAAATTGTTTGCCATCTCTTCCGCAACGCCATGCTGTCGACAACCGCAAAAGTACTTAAAAATTTCACGCTTTAAATTTTTTTTTCCTTTTAACTTTGAATTAAATGCATATTAAATCTCGTTACTTATTAATCTGATATGCCATGGCAGGCTAATGCTCTGTGGAATCTCTCTTTTTATTTCGGTTCTTCTTGCTCTTCTTTAGACTAATAAGAAAAGACTCGACGAACAAGAAAAGGATGAAAAAAATTCACCGCATTTAATTTCGAAGATTTTTTTTTTCATATTACAGTGAAAATTGTTAATATAGCGTAAAGAACAATGAAAAATGACATGGAAAGGATGCTTTCAGCTGAAAGCTTTTTGATGGGGCAAATCAAATATTCAGTAAAGCAAGATAGATTTACAGTTTTACATCAATCTTCAAAACATTTCAAATCTTCAATTCAAACTAAGCTTAAAGAAGTACAGAAGTATTCAATATGACTATTAGTGGGTTACAAAACATCCAAACACTCCCCACTGAATAATTTGATTCATATAATGCAATTTACATCTAACTTTTAAGGTTAAAAGTAAAACATTGAAATCGTTTCTCTCAAAAAAGCTTGTTAACGTCAACAAATTAATTTATCTTGCTTGCTCCAGTCTGAAATTACAGAATACAGCTGTTTTGACTTTAAACAGTCACTGAAATCTGAAAGATTCTACAACAATCTTACAATGTGAGAGAAATCTACAGAATGGCGGATATTTCTTTTAAATATTTAAAATACGTTATAAATTTATTGAACTTAAGCTCATTCATTAAAGTCATAACAATCTCATTCAAAATTGCCCATCACAATTGCCATTTCCGTCACTTACCCATCATCTCGAATGAAAACATCTAGAAGAAAAGAACGGATATGGTATGCCATTATAACAGTAAAGTTGTTACAAATTGATGGAAAGGATGAAAATGCAGATTATATTTTTATTGTATCGCTAAAGTTTCTCTCTCCGCTGCTTCAGCCTTTCCGCTTTGCACAGCTCTTTTTTCCTTTTTTATTGCTTTTAAAGCTTTTTACAGACAAATATTCACCCACTCACTCAATCACTCAAAGAGATAGAGTGAGAAAACGAACTGAAAGAACCTACGTGAGTTGAGATGATTTGAGTTGAATTGAAGTGGGTAAAATAAAAAAAAAAAGTATTATTCGATGGGTATATGAATGGATGAATGTAAATCTTTTAACGGATTATGGTGCTGAATGTATTTTGCAGTCTATAAAAAAGCATAAAATGAAATTTTATCTTTCAATGCTGTAAAGTGATACATAAATAGAGTCATTCAAGCGGCGGTACTTTGTGGGAAAAAAGCAAAATGAAGCAGGTCAAGTTTCGAGTTTTAAAAAGGGAATTTAAGTTAAATGCAGATTTTGCTAAATTGTTAAGCTAGATTTTTGAAGAAATTGATAAAGAGTGTTAACTGTCATATGAAATCTCTAACTGCTAATACTTTCTACATTTAAGTTGGTCATTTAAAACCAGTACAATACAAAATGAGTAATCTGATTTATGAAATGCAATTTTAAAACCAATTTTTAATGTTAAAAATTAAACATTGATAATTTTTGTTTAAAAGAAGCTTTATAAAGCTCAAAAGGTATTTCATCTCGCTTGCTCCGATCTCAAAATGTAGAATTCAGCTGCTCAGACTTAAAATAGTGTCAGAAGGAAGAGATATTTAAAAACAAACTTGCGACGTGAGAGAAATTTCAAAATTTTGAACCATGTTTAAAATTCAAAATTCCGTTAAAAATTCAAAGGTTTTTTAAAATAACATAACCTTTTAAATAATTAGCAATATATTTTTTGATGAATATCTAGTGATACTATACATATTAATTAATAACTTACCATTTCCTTACTATAGAACATTTGATCTCTTAATTAATTTTTTTTTTAAATTTAAAATTTCTTTTCACAGTGATCAAGTATGCGTACCTGGCCCAGCCTTCCGTACAATTCCAGGAATGCAAGATTGGTGTTTGCAAAATTGCTTGAGATACCCACCAAATTGTCCAGAAAATGTATGCCATTGCCCGTAAGTTGATAATATTTTAACTTCTTGACCTGTTTTTTAACATTTCTCATTCTCAACAGTCGAACATGTGAAGCAATTGGCGAGATTGCTGGAAAAGCAGGAGCTGACGTTTATTGCCTTTATCACTGCCTTAGTAATACTCAAGATTGTCCAGCAAATCGCTGTCGATGCTATTAGGAATGATAATGAGCTTAAATCTTTTCACATTTCTTATACTCCTTTATAATTTGTCGTCCCGACATTTTAAGTCGCTGCCATATTGCTCTATTTTTTTTTTAATAATATTTCTTTTGTTTCCCTCCTCTTGAGACTCCTTTATTTTCGTGTGTCTTGTAACCCTCCTCAAGAAAATTAATGATTTTGTTTCCTTTTCTTTTTGTTTTCATTTTCCTTCGTCGAGTTTTGCTTTCTCACGATTGTATTTTGAAGGCTTTTTCACTTGATTTGAAAATAGATTCAACATTTGGGAGACAAAAGATTTTAAGAAAGAAAGTTTATGATGGCGAATATTTTAGGGGTGGTTAATTAGGGATGATTTTTTTTTGTGAAATGTAATTTCAATAAGAACATCAGAATGTACTTAATTGTTGTTTTGGGAAAGGAAGGAGGGGGTATGGAGAAGTATGGGGATTTGGGTTCAACAGTTGATTCATTTTGAGATTTCATCCAGATTATTAAATTCTTTGTATATTAAAAACTAAACTACTGCTGATCAGCAGATCTTTGAAAATTTGGCAAGATCTTTATGATCATTAGTAGTCTACTTAAATCAGGGATATATATTTCGTCATTAAATGTATAATTGATTTTTGAGGTATGAGATTTACAGAAACTGGACTAGGATATGATACATTGGGTTTGGGGGTTATTCAACTTCATTTATAACTTAAACTATGGCAACTTTAGTCTTTCTAAGCCTTAAAGTAAAGACGACGCTCCTTTAAATTAGTAGCTAATCCCCATGAGAACGGGGCAGAACAACTCTACAAATTCTACACAAGTGAAAAAGCCTAGATTCATAAGTTCAATGATGAATCTCATGCTTCAATGTTTTGTGGAAATATGCAAAGTGAAAAAAAAAGAATGAAAAGAGATCCCCGAAAAAAAGTACATTAATAACCACAAGATAGCAGTTGAGGAGGAAATTGAAAATGAAGTTTGAACAAAGAAAAAAAAACATGAAATTTTGTAAATACACGAGTAGGATGGAAAAAAATTCAATATTATGATGAAAATTATGCAAGATCATGATATTGATAAATTCTTTTCCTGTTCAGCTTTCAATATTTTTGTTCCCCATTTTTGCACGAAAAGGAAGGCGATAGAAAGATTTTTATTTTGTATGCAGCCTCTCATAAAAAAATGTAGGATTTTTTTCAAATATTATTTTATTCATTTTGATGTTCTTCATGTTAAATTTATATTTTCAACATTTTTTACTTCTTATTGTTCAAATATCAAAAAATTCAAATCCCTTGTGAATGAAAAAGTTGCAGTTTGATTTTTATGATGGAAATGCATTTTTTAAGTTAAAACAACTTTGAATATTTGAAATTGTATTGTTAGTGGCACATGTGGGATTTTAAAGCTTTTTTGTTTGGCGTTTTATTAACCATGTGGGGATTATTACGAGTGTTTGGTGACTTCTATTAAAACTTTTAGTAGTTTACTGTCGTTAAAATTTTATGACAATTTTTTAACGATTTTATATCAGGCACTGATGCTCTCATGTGCAAAAAACGTAGAATACAACCTAAAAGTACCAAATAATTTTAAAATTCCATTAATAAAGAATTAATCGATTAAAACTTATTTCCTGGTCGCTAAATATCTTATGCATCCAATCGACATGCATAACAATGTTAATCACATGGCAGCCTAGCACATTGAATAGTTTGAACCAAACCACAACCATTATTGAGCCATTCTCTTACAAATGTCAAGTTACAGTCTTTGAAAAGCGGCTGTTGCTTGATTATAAACATATAATCCATTTGACTGCCATGTAATTCACTAAACCTAAAAGTTTAACGACAAGAAAAACAAAATAATTTTCCAACACAAAAATCTGACAAAATTTATCCAAGGGATGATCCTTCGTCTTCATACCATCGCTTAATCTCAATTTTAGAAAACATAAAGCACCACAAGAAAAAGTTCTACGATAACAGTTATTGTATCTAAGCTAGATATGTCGAAAAAGCCAAAGAAAATTGGACTCAGCATAGCTTAATATTCAAAATAGGCTTTTCTAAAGCATTAAAGATAACATTCATGTCAATTTCATCAAGTGAATTACAAATAACTTCCATCCGATAAAGTTCTTAATCTTCTTAGACAAACATTTTCTCTTTTTCTTGTGAATTTTCTTTTTCACATCGTCATATTTGAGATGGTAATGCATGCATGTAAGACGAGTTGGAGTTCTTTTGAATTTTTGATTTCTGAATGAGCATAAAGAATTTTTTGTTTGCTTCTTGCCTTGAATATAAAAAAAACTCTTTTTTTCAAATTTCTGTTGAGAGATATGCATGCAGATGTGCAAGCATCTCATGATGATAATAAAAAAGAATAGTTATCTATAATTTATGTATGTAAAGTAAAAGAAGAAAGAAATTCTTGTGTAGGAAAAAAAAGTCGTAATTGTAATAAAGAATGAAATTTTTCACATGCACTTGTGAATATTGTATGGAAATTCCCTTTTGTGTTTTATTTAACAATGAAGTTTTTCTTTCATGAATCTGAAAAGCTTTGGATTTATTTTTTTCATTGATTTTTCAGACTTTTGAGGGTTGGATTTTGAATAAGATTTTTGATTAAGTTTTGGATGTTTACTAAATTTTGAATTATTTTACTTTGATTTCAGGGCAATATTAGAGAACATTGAGGAAAAGCTCAAGCATTGTCACTTTTGGTAGACACCGTTTGATCTTAAATTGGAATCATGGTGGATATTCTACTCAATGAAGTATCTGTGAATATGGTTCGAAGATCATATCTGTAGTAGATAGACCTGAGCATAGGCATCGCTTTGAACTGGTTATATGTGTATAACGGATAGCCGAAGTAAGCTAAGTACCTCGGTAGCCGAGTGGCATAGATCTCTGATCGAGTGGTCAGAGATCGCCTTTTTTGAGGTCGTGTGTTCGATTCCCATCAAACCCGACTTGTTTTACATTAGTATACACATTTGGCAGTTATAGGGAGATCTACAGTATCAAAAAAATTATTTAATGGACATATATTTTCTGATCCTGAAATTTCCAAATAATAACAATTTTGATAGCTAAAGCACACAACATTACAATTCTACATGCCTAAATAGATGAAATCCAACAGAATTGTTTCGTTTTCAAAGCTCAAAACCTTGAAACTTTAAAAACATAAATTTTGTTATGTCTTTAATATCTCTAGAGCATATCTATTTACCTGTGGAGTCATTATTCACATATTCATCGTTTAAACTAAAGGTAGATCTTCCAAGAAGGACCCAAAAAAATTTTATAAACTTTGAATTGACTTTTTGTCACATCATTATTCCCAAAAAGTATTCTAATCTACGTGCACAAAAAGTCAAAGGATCCAGAAATTAGGAATCATCAGGAGACAAGATAATCACACATAACAAAATTGACATTCAACACAGAAATGCTTTTTAATAAGAACTTTATTCACAGATCAATATCCAAGCAGACAAAAAAAGTATTTTTTTTTTTCATTACAAGAAGAAGCAATCAAGAAGAAAAAGAAAGACGAAAGTTCCTTCCCGCCTTCCTTAAATCAGCAATTTACACCATTTTATTTGCACAATTGAAGACTTTTTCACACATACAGCATGAGAAATCAGTTTGTGAATTTATCATTTTCAGGCACACACACAAAAAAAAGAAAACTTTTTTTCCTCTGTTCGGTACCCACATTCGGTAACATCAGTAGAAGTAATAGCAACAGAAGTAGGATAAAAAGGTCGTTTTACTGTGAATAATCAGACAGAAAACTTTTTTCCGCATTCTGTATTACAGCATTCTTATTTCTACTTCTCCTCTCCATCTATCGACCTCCATCATGCATGCTGAATGAATGCCTAGATATCGATAAAAAGTTTTTTGTCTTTTCTTATTTTTCAGCTCTGCTTTTTTTGACTCGAGTCATACATGTGAAAAAAATTTAAGGTTAATTTTTGTGGGGAGCATGAAAGTGATTTGGTTCATTTTGTCTTATATGTAGCTTTGGTTGATGACTTATTTTGAATTAATGATGTGAAATTTCTTAGAAATAAAATAAAGGTTAGTTCGTGCTTTAATTCTCTTTTCAATGTTGCGATCATAAGACCATGTAGGCAGGACACGTAGAACTAGTTTCGAAGAATTCTGTAACATTTGAATGGTTTCAATTCAGGATTACTTAGCTGAATCAGATTGCTTGCATTGATGAGCTTTTTGAGCTTGAGATATTTCGATTCAATTAAGCTACTTGTATTGTTGCAAACACCATCTTTAAAGATTTTTTTGAAGATGTTGATATCTGATGCATCTATAGTGAAAGATTTGGTGGGAATCGAACACTTGCAGTGCTTGAAAGATTGGCATAATGTCAACTTAATCTGTTTAGAGCTAAAGAATTAAAACTTATCTAAGTTCAAGGATGTTTTTGTCATAACCTAACAAATTATGAATATATTTCCTAGATATTATCAATTTATAAGACCTAAAATTCATTAACCATAATGAAGCTTTAGGACACTTTCGTACTTGCAATATCCTTATCTTCAGAACCTTCTCCTCCTTCATACAATACACACCGATTGTATTAAAAGAGATAGGTCATGTGAAATAAAAAAAGGAGAAGACACGAAATTATGAGCATGTATGTATGATGTATAAATGGTGCGTTCGAGGAGCATACTTGAGTAGAATAAAAAATTGGAATATATGTACATTGGCACAATAGAAGAATGTAAATAAGGTAATTTGAATTTGATAGCAAGGAGCTTAAGCATAGCAATATTTACGTGTGTAGATTGAGATTAAATATCATGGATGTAAAGTGTGGCTTGCATAAATGTGAATTTTTCTACCTTTTACCTTACCTGTGATAAAGACCATTATTACAATATAATTTAATCTATAAACTTTGCCATAAAATCACAACATGAAAATTTCTCGTTTGGTATTAAA